GTAGATTTCATTGCAGAATTCACAACTGGGATACCTGCAGAGACAGCGTCGTTAGTACCTGACCTCCCCACGTGAAAACTTTCAATGGATGGAGTTGCCAATGCTCAGGGCAGTGGAGCTGGTTTGATTTTGACTTCCCCCGATAAGATAGATGTTGAATACGCACTGAGATTTGGATTCAAAGCTTCAAACAACGAAGCTGAGTATGAGGCAGTCATAGCAGGGCTCAGCTTAGCTCATTCAATTGAAGCCGAGCAACTGGAGATTTACAGTTACTCACAACTCGTGGTGAGATAGATAAAGGGTGCTTACGAGGTTAAGGGTGAGAAAATGACCCTTTATCTTAGAAAGGTGCAAGAATTGATCAAGAAATTTGTGCAAGTAAAGATTAGACATGTCCCTAGAACTGAAAATTCGAGAGCAGACGTTTTGGCAAGGTTGGCAAAAACTTCATGAGAAAATCTGGACAGGTTGATCCCCGTTGAGCATCTGGCGGAACCATCTGTGTGTATTAAGAATGGAGAAGTTTTTCCTGTACGGAGTCCAACAAGCTGGATGGACCCCATCATGGAATATCTCCAGAACGGGACTTTACTAAAGGACTCCAAGTAAGCAGCAAAGCTGAGAACCAAGTCAGCTATATTTTCCATTTTGCAGGGAAACTTGTACAAGCGAGGTTTTTCAGCGCCACTCCTCAAATGTGTTTAGAACGAGGACGCTGATTATATACTCAGGGAAATTCACAAAAAAGTTTGTGGCAATCACATCGGAGCTCGAGCTTTGACGGGAAAGACATTAAGGCAGGGGTATTACTGGCCCACGTTGCTCAAGGACGCAACAGACCTGGTCAGGAGATGCAAGCTTGCCAAATACACGCTAACATCCCACACGGGCCACCAGAATTCTTGACCTCCGTAGTAAGCCTCTGGCCATTCCAACAATGGGATCTAGATATATTAGGGCCTCTTCTCACTGGTGTAGGACAATGCAAGTTCGCTATTATAGGAGTAGATTACTTTACCAAGTGGGCAGAGGAAGAACCTTTGGCAACCATTACAAAACGAAAAGTTCAGAATTTTACTTGGAAATCCATAATCTGCCGATTTGGGATCCCCAGAGTAATTGTGTCAGACAATGGCAAGCAGTTCGACAACCCAAAGTTCAAAAACATCTATGCCGAGCTCGGAATAAGGAATTACTTTTCTGCCCCAGCTCATCCTCAGTCTAATAGACAAACAGAAGTCACCATCAAGACTATAAAGTCCGCCCTGAAGACCAAGCTGAAAAATCTGAAGGGTAAATGGGTAGACACCTCCCAGAAGTACTATGAGCTTATAAGACAACCACTAGATCGACAACACAAGAGACTCCATTTATTTTGGCTTTCGGTTCTGAGATAGTGGCACCTGTCGAAGTTGGGCTCCCTTCACTTAGAACAAAATTAGCAAATGAGGAAAATAATGATAATTCCCTTTTACTAAGTTTGGATCTGTTGGAAAAAAAGAGGGAGGCAGCACTGAACAACATAAAGAACTAACAAAGGAAAACAACTAGGTACTAAGAATATTTTTGTAATCATCATTATTGAAAGACAAGTAGGAAAAGTCTCCATTAACGAGTGGATTAACCGAGCTCCCGAGCTGATAAACCACTATACTTCTTGTATGTTAATCCTCTCAGCCCCTAGAAAAATATTTCTTTCATTATCACACCATCATCACTACAAAACATAATTACGATTCATTACTCATACAATTCGGTTTACATCATCATTTACAAAATATTCAAAAGACTATTTGTTGAGATTAAAAGTTGAAAGAATAAATTGTAAACCAACCAAAATTAAAGAAGACTTCTTATAATTTACATCGAATGAAACTTTGATTTTTATACATTTATTGTGACGGTGATGAAGCCACTGACCTAAAGAAATGAGTACACAATAAAGGTGATTTAGACCAAAGGAACTTTAAGGCAATTAGGTCATCCATGTATAGTTTATTTGCCTATGCCACATAATGGATTAACAAAAATATAATTGTATCATTGCATTGGTCTTGTCAGAAACTATGATAGCAAAGAGATTTAAAGCAGCTTTGGGACGACAGGCCTTAAGATATTTAGCTGGAATGGTGTTGCAAATGTTTTTCATGATTTGAAGCACCTTTGGATGAACAAGTTTTGATTTTTTTGCATATTTGATGTTATTTTTATAATTATTGTAAAATTTTAACCTATTTATTATTATTTATTTTTTTATTATATTATCGGTTGAACTAATGACCTAACAGTTGAATCAATGACCCATTCACCAGGTCCTTTTGCGGAGTTGATGTCCGGGCCGAGTTTTAAAATTATGGTACTGAGTGACCTCAATGGATATACTCATACCAGTACGCATCTGAAATTTTGGTTATAATAATGAGTTAGGTAGTACGGATATGGATACGTGACATGGATACGATATTATACGGATACGGCGATACGACAAAATTTAAAAAATACAAGATACGGGTACGACCAAGATACGTTTATAATAAAATATATTTTATATTTTACTATTAATTAATGACTTAGAAATTACAATTTTTCAATAATTCTTTAACATTAGTAAGTAAAATTAGGAATTTTTACCATGAAAAAAATATAATATCGTCTCATTGTGATACTTTCATAAAATGAGCATGACCAATTGAAGGAAACATAACCACATTTAACTAGTTAATTTTACAAGTATTTATTTTTAAAAGTATAGTGTAAGTGACTCATTTTTTTATATTATATGTGAACTCTAAAGAAGGGGTATAGTTTAAAATTAAAAATTGTACATCTTACTTTATGTTTAGAAGTATCTACGAAGTATTCATATATTTTATTAATTATCGGATACGGATGATGCTTATCTGATATGTATCATCGAGTATTCGACGAGTATCATATTTGATACGATATTTAATACGCATAAGTCGACTTTCACGAAATATCCGTGGTTCATAGGTAATGAGTCAAAAACACCTAACTACTAATGGGTTCCCACTTCCCACCGCTGAACATTCACAAAGAAAGCAGAAGATAAAATTAGTTTGGCGGAGACCAGATGAAATTTAAATTTAGGAGAAATTTTATTATATGGAAAAAAAAAAAAATTTGGTGTTGATACTATAGATTACTATTTTTTATCATAAAATTAAAATTTTGAAAAGAGAAATTATAATTGCTTGAGGGAGATCATAATCAATAATGAAAAACGCGGTATCAATCATAATATTCTATGATTAATCATGTCTTTTGAATTTATAACTTATATCTAAAAATATTGTAATTTTTGGTACCAATACTGTCGGTTGCACCGTAGAACATCCCTAAATTTAGATATTCTGAATTTAAAATTTGATAATTTTTGGACGTCAGGTACGAGAGATTTTTTTTTTTTATCAGTTCTCTAGTTTTGACGTGAAGTTTGTTTTTAATCAAATCGAAGATAGAATTAATTGAGATGCATGTAAATTGATTCAAACATCTTGACTTTCATAACAAAAATAAAAAAGACTTAACGGTAGTACTGGAAAAATAAAATTTCGGTACCATACTTCCATTTACAACATTAATGGTTACTGTTAATATATTTGAGTGATTTCACAACTGCTGTGGTATTCAAAATAGTAAGAATAATCACAAATATAATAAAAGAATATTCACAAAAATGATAAAAATATTCACAAAAATTGATAAATTACCTACAAAAATAATAATTTTATTTGTATCAAAAAAAATGATAAAAATAATAATCATAACAGTGGTAAAAATATCTATAACAATGACAAAAATATTCACAAAAAATAATAAATTATTCATAAAATAATAATTTTTTTATTATAAAATAACTCATAAAAATTATAAAAATACATATTAAAATAATAAATTTAAGAGGTATGTTACCATTGCCGGCACAATAGTGAAGTCCTAACAAAAGGACAAAATTGAACATTTGGAAAAAGATATGATGTTTGATACGACGGAATGAGAAAAGTTACACTCAATAATGCGAGAAAGGTTAGGTACCGAAGGAAATAGTGTACTGAAATTCACAATCGTTTAAAATTAAATTATAATTTTTTTTAAGTATAAATTATAGTTTGTAAAGGTTATAATCAATTATAATAAATTAAAATTAATAATAAAATTATAACTTTTAAATGTCAAGTTATAATTCATAAAAAAAAAATTATAATTACTTAGGAAAAATTCATGATCAATTAGGTATATATGTGATCAATCATGATCCTCCTCTTCTCCAGAATAATTATAATTTCTGTCTTTCTGAGTCGTAATTCCTCCTTTTTGAATTCCAACTTTACAGTAATGGTATCTTTCGTGTCAATTGTAACTTTACAGTGGTGGTACGATACGCAAGGCGGTAACATAAACTTTCCCCAATAATGCAAGCTATACTGTTCCTGCGCAATGAAAGAAACCCCTGGCAGAGTGAGCGTTATCATCCCGAGAGAGAGAGAGAGTTGAATACAAGTGTAAAGAGAACCCACTAGCTTATTATTCAAATGAGATTTTTTTTCATTTTCTATGTGGGCACAATAATCAGCACCCAAAAGAAGTGTTTTTGTATTAATAAACACCATTTGATAAAATGATTAAAACCTTGCTTTTGTGTATAAATCGAGGATTACATAAAAGTCGGTACTAATTAATATGATATTCATTACAGTTACTGCAGCAATTAGATCATCTCCTCCGGATCAAACCACACAATTATTTTTAGGGCAGAGAGAGAATACTTGTACCATTCATTCACCTTAAGAAAACATATAGTGTTTCACAAGGAATACAATTGGACACAAACTCTAAAGATAAGATAATACAGAAGTAGACAAACAAAACATACACAAGCAAAAGAAAGGAACAGAGGAAATGGGGGACACGGAGAGAGAGAGAGAGGAGAAGTTCGTCCTTTTGGCAATATCAAGTGCAGTAAGAAAGCAAGCCTAGGACATCCACACCCGTTGTCCAAATGCATTAAAACACCACTGTCCACCACCACCACCACCACGGGAAGACGATCCTCCTCGTATATTCATACCAAGTCGATTAGCCTGATTTCTGACCTCTTGATTATTCCAATTAATTGCAACCCCAGATCTAAAATAGGCCTCCCAAGATATATTCCCACCACCATGACTTGACGATGGAGCCGCCGTGGGCCGCGTCGTCCTAGGATCCACCACTCGTGTAGGCTTAGGCTTAGGCTCCACCACCCGTGTAGGATTAGGCTTAGGCTTAGGCTTAGGTTTAGGCGCCACCACTACGGTGTTATTGACGACGTTCGTAACATTTACCACCTTCGTAACGTTGACCGCTCCTTGACGCCGTGGAACGACGATCTTCGGACGTGCTGGACAAGGAGGACGCACAATTTTCACGTCCACCTTCACTTTCACTTTCGAAACATCACGACCACCGCCGTTACTTGTTCTTCCTCCACTCCGGCTACCTCCGCTACTCATCTTTCGACACCAATTCGACTGTACTAAATGAAACCCCAACACAACTGAAGACAACTTTATGTAGACAGGGCTATTTAATCGTGAGCGTACACGCGTCACTTTTGAATTAAACCAGGATGCTTTAGGTTTGCTTAGTCAGTAAGGTTTCGTGATATTTGTGTGTATGTACATAGACAATAAATTTTACAGTAGGTAATGCCTAGGTGCTCCATAGATTAAGTAATGCTACGTGAATTTAATAATTAATTTTGATAATTATAATTATTAATTTTATTGTAGATCTTAATATTTATTAAAATTCACTATTTATTTAATAGTCGGAGGTTTTGACCTATCCCACGAGATTTTAAAATTTTTTTTCAAATAATGATTAGTTTGAAAGTAATTTTTAAACCTATGTTGTTTTAAAAAATCAAATGAACTAACGTTTTTAGGTTAAAGACATTAAATGAACTAACATCTTTAATTTAAAAATATCAGTCTATTTAACGTTTTTAAGCCTTTTTCTCCAACAAAGGGAGCATAATAAACGTTAGTCCAATTAACACGTTTAACCTTTTGTTTTTTTTGTGCTGNCTAAAAATTATAAAAATACATATTAAAATAATAAATTTAAGAGGTATGTTACCATTGCCGGCACAATAGTGGAGTCCTAACAAAAGGACAAAATTGAACATTTGGAAAAAGATATGATGTTTGATACGACGGAATGAGAAAAGTTACACTCAATAATGCGAGAAAGGTTAGGTACCGAAGGAAATAGTGTACTGNGTCAAAAAAGAAGTTAGTTCCTTCTTTGCCAAAAAGTCAAGCAACATGTAATATTTAACACATCACTCCACCAACTTTATTGAGAATTAAAAATGGGGTACTTCTTTTTTTGCTCCTTCTTGGCAAAAGGTCACATGATTTGTTTATAACTCCACTTGATTTCAATAATTATCATAAGTGATCCCTAAATTTTCTCTCGGATTTTAATATAGTCCATAAAATTTTAATTNTTCATGATCAATTAGGTATATATGTGATCAATCATGATCCTCTTCTTCTCCAGAATAATTATAATTTCTGTCTTTCTGAGTCATAATTCCTCCTTTTTGAATTCCAACTTTACAGTAATGGGATCTTTCGTGTCAATTGTAACTTTACACTGGTGGTACGATACACAAGGCGGTAACATAGACTTTCCCCAATAATGCAAGCTATACTGTTCCTGCGCAATGAAAGAAACCCCTGGCAGAGTGAGCGTTATCATCCCGAGAGAGAGAGAGTTGAATACAAGTGTAAAGAGAACCCACTAGCTTATTATTCAAATGAGATTTTTTTTCATTTTCTATATGGGCACAATAATCAGCACCCAAAAGAAGTGTTTTTGTATTAATAAACACCATTTGATAAAATGATTAAAACCTTGCTTTTGTGTATAAATCGAGGATTACATAAAAGTCGGTACTAATTAATATGATATTCATTACAGTTACTGAAGCAATTACATCATCTCCTCCAGATCAAACCACACAATTTTTTTTAGGGCAGAGAGAGAATACTTGTACCATTCATTCACCTTAACAACACATATAGTGTTTCACAAGGAATACAATTGGACACAAACTCTAAAGATAAGATAATACAGAAGTAGACAAACAAAACATAAACAAGCAAAAGAAGGGAACAGAGGAAAATGGGGGACACGGAGAGAGAGAGAGAGGAGAAGTTCGTCCTTTTGGCAATATCAAGTGCAGTAAGAAAGCAAGCCTAGGACATCCACACCCGTTGTCCAAATGCATTAAAACACCACTGTCCACCACCACCACCCCCTCCACCACCACGGGAAGACGATCCTCCTCGTATATTCATACCAAGTCGATTAGCCTGATTTCTGACCTCTTGATTATTCCAATTAATTGCAACCCCAGATCTAAAATAGGCCTCCCAAGATATATTCCCACCACCATGACTTGACGATGGAGCCGCCGTGGGCCGCGTCGTCCTAGGATCCACCACTCGTGTAGGCTTAGGCTTAGGCTCCACCACCCGTGTAGGATTAGGCTTAGGCTTAGGCTTAGGTTTAGGCGCCACCACTACGGTGTTATTGACGACGTTCGTAACATTTACCACCTTCGTAACGTTGACCGCTCCTTGACGCCGTGGAACGACGATCTTCGGACGTGCTGGACAAGGAGGACGCACAATTTTCACGTCCACCTTCACTTTCACTTTCGAAACATCACGACCACCGCCGTTACTTGTTCTTCCTCCACTCCGGCTACCTCCGCTACTCATCTTTCGACACCAATTCGACTGTACTAAATGAAACCCCAACACAACTGAAGACAACTTTATGTAGACAGGGCTATTTAATCGTGAGCGTACACGCGTCACTTTTGAATTAAACCAGGATGCTTTAGGTTTGCTTAGTCAGTAAGGTTTCGTGATATTTGTGTGTATGTACATAGACAATAAATTTTACAGTAGGTAATGCCTAGGTGCTCCATAGATTAAGTAATGCTACGTGAATTTAATAATTAATTTTGATAATTATAATTATTAATTTTATTGTAGATCTTAATATTTATTAAAATTCACTATTTATTTAATAGTCGGAGGTTTTGACCTATCCCACGAGATTTTAAAATTTTTTTTCAAATAATGATTAGTTTGAAAGTAATTTTTAAACCTATGTTGTTTTAAAAAATCAAATGAACTAACGTTTTTAGGTTAAAGACATTAAATGAACTAACATCTTTAATTTAAAAATATCAGTCTATTTAACGTTTTTAAGCCTTTTTCTCCAACAAAGGGAGCATAATAAACGTTAGTCCAATTAACACGTTTAACCTTTTGTTTTTTTTGTGCTGGCTGCATTGCTCCTTTTTTAGCTGGCTGCCGAAAGGTCAGTCCTCCAACATGTAATATTAACATGTCAAAAAAGAAGTTAGTTCCTTCTTTGCCAAAAAGTCAAGCAACATGTAATATTTAACACATCACTCCACCAACTTTATTGAGAATTAAAAATGGGGTACTTCTTTTTTTGCTCCTTCTTGGCAAAAGGTCACATGATTTGTTTATAACTCCACTTGATTTCAATAATTATCATAAGTGATCCCTAAATTTTCTCTCGGATTTTAATATAGTCCATAAAATTTTAATTCTTTTGATTTTAATCCATCAATTATAAATTTTATTTCAATTAAATCATTCCATTAATTTTAATCATCAGATCAAGTGAAGATTAACCCAATTTAAAATTGATAATTGAGGGACTAAAATAAGACAAGTGAAAGTTCATGGATTAAATTGAAATTAGAGAAAAAAACTCAGGACTAACTATAAAATTTACCTTAATTTTTTATAAAATATTATAAATGCATCAAATAAATATAATATTTAATCAATTTCTAATCAATTTTAATTCCAAAATATGTTTTGTTCCCTATCTTTTTGAGAGGATGAGTTATTTATTTATTTATTTAAAAATTTCATAACATTCAATAAATAAATTTTGATAATTTAAATATACTTATATTTTTTAGCATATCAAACTTAAAAAAAGTGAAAATGTATACATATAATTAATTTTAATTTTATCATATAATTATAGACGCATATAAAAAAATTATTTTAAATGATGATCAACTCAACATTAATGTTTATTATAAGCTGTGAAAAAATAAAAGTTATTCAGAACGAACACAGATAAAAAAAAGGATGTCAACAACGTGGTTGATGTTCAAAACAAGATAAAGGATTATTGAGTACACATAAACATAATGGGATAAAAGTGTCAGACTCATCATCCTCCAAATCAGAGAAATCAGAAAGCTCAGAATCAGAAACAAGTAACGGATCCTCTAAAATTTTAATTTTGGCATATTCAGGATCAAAATGCTCTATTTTAGCATAATCGAGTGCATGGAAACGATCAAGACGACGTCGCATTTAATTATTTTCACGTTCAAGCCTTGATATGACCTCGTCATGATTGTTTGAATTATGTGAATTGTAAATATCAACCGAATGTACCTTCGGTACCACAATACCATGCCAACGACAAAAATACTTCAAGATCACAACATTTGTCATATAATTGTCCTCATCTTGGTATAGGTTCGATACAAGCACCTGGAGGTGGATAATCAGTTGCAGACCCAACAATTACATGTTCAGTTTGTCCGAATGGGTGATAAAGGTCGATTGTCTCATTGCGAAACGCACGCTTTCGCTCATACCACATTATACCACTAGAATCAGTATATAATTTGATAGAAGTAACTTTGTTCAACGAAGTTGAGCTGTCCGTTTAGCGTTCATGTTTCTTACCCGAAGATGAACTATTTAGATCATTGTGTGAAGAAGAACTTGCATGTGATGTGCTTCTATACATTTTATTTGGTGGTGGTGCATTTACACCATTGTCAATGATAGTATATATATGCTTAGTTTGACAATTAAAAATTGGAGTAAAAGGACATCAATCTGCATAGTTTGGAACTAATTTGACAATGATGCAAAAAGACAATGAAAAAGTTGGGATAAGAAAACACACTACACTGATTTGTTAAAGCCACAAGATAGATTAAAGTAAATAGGACATTACACTGCAAAGTTGAGAACTGATTTGATAATGACAAGATGTGATAATGAAAAAATTGAGATATGACAACACACAGAATAAACTCATAAATGCACAATATTGATTAAAGTAAATAACACATAGACATAAAAGTTATATGCTTAATAAGGTGAACACTAATTATATTTGTTAATTTTCATCGGACATATACTCATCTAATAGGTATTGTTCATTAGACAATACATTAGATCGCTCAGTAGTTGTTAACTCTCTGCCAAAAGCAGTTGTCACCATGTCAGATGCTAGTTGGAGCATATAATATCGGCACTTATGCAACATCATCCTATTATTCTCTTTTTGTATACGTTTAACCACTGTTTCATAGTTGACTTTATTCTTTTCGGGCATGGTAAGTAAAAGTCTATGAGGCACCGGTATACCAACTTTTCTTAGATCTATGTATAATGACTGTGATTCATTAATACGAAAAGTCCATTCTCGACGAAGTACAGCATAATATTCATTTGGATCAGAAAATCTCTCACTTTTATAATCATCATCTCGCTCTTGTAATAACCATATTGCTTCATGCCTACAGTTGGTATCACTTACTCGTGTTCTTGAAATAGACATAATGTGCAATACATGTTATATGACTCACCCTATATTATGTTTTTATAGTGATTTTCATTGTTTGAAATAAATACATTCGTCAGCAGTAGTGCAGTAGTGTGTAGTCACCTTTATATTTGAGTTGATAGTCAAACAGTAACAAGATATTTGTGCAGTATGCGTGATTACACACTATTATATGTCAGCAGAAACATACGCTGGTACGCAGTGATTGTAACAACACGCTGAGAAATGTAGTCCGTTGATTTTAATTGACCATGATTCATCCTGCGTCTTAGTGATTCACGACCTGTGATACGTGTAACAGTATTAGAGTTTGTGGCTAGTAACTACTGTGTAGTCACAGGATATGGAATGTGACAACACATTAGTGCTGCTGAATTAAAAATAGTTACAATGATTGACAATTGCATCATTGTCAGTCGTCGTGACAACACACTAGGTTACTGTGACTAAACACTAGTTAAATGTCAGTCTATGTGACTAAATAAATACATTTGTCAGCAGCAGTGCAGTAATGTGTAGTCACCTTTATATTTGAGTTGATGGTCAAACAATAACAAGTTACTTGTGCAGTACGCGTGACTGATTCAGTGGTCCAGCCTCCCTTTTCCATCTGGTTCAGCTTTCCCAAGGGCCTAGCTTGACCGGTTCAGTGGTCCAGCTCCCTTTTTCAGACTGGTTCAGTGGTCCAGCCTCCTTTTTCAGTTCAGTTTAGTTTTCCAACACTTCTTATTTATTATTTGCTGCACTATTATGGAACCCAATGAAGATACCAGGTCCCTTACTCTATTTTTGTCTCCTCCGACTCTTATTAATGATCCTATGACCTCTGTCAAACTCAATGGGACTAATTACACTTTATGGTCTCGATCTGTTCAAGTCTTTCTTCAAGGCAAAGGATTTAAGAAATATTTGGTGAATTCTAAACCTAGGAAAGACATTCCTGGGTATGATCAGTGGGAACAAGAGGATGCTCAAATTATTTCTTTACTATTGAATCACATTGAGCCTAGTATTAGTTATACTCTGCTCTACCTTGACACTGCCAAGGAGATATGGGATCACTTGCCCACTATATATTCTGGTATGGGTAATTTTACCCGAGCTTATGAGGTGTGCACGGAGTATTTTAGACTGGAACAAAGTAATCTGAGCATTGAGGATTATTACTCTCACGTTCGGAGAGTATGTGAGGAGATGAAGACATATCATCCGTTTACTACTGATGTAGCAGTTTGGCAGGATCAACATGAGGACATGAATGTCGTTAGGTTTTTGGTCAGTTTGAAACCTGAGTATGAGGGTATTTGTTCTCAGATTTTGGGTGGTTCTACTCTTTCCTCACTGCTTGAGGTTTTCTCTCAAATACAATATGCTACTTTGTCTACTTCAGGTATCAATCATGGTGTTTTCACTGATCGCTCAACTCTTGTGGTACCTAGTAATCATAGTGATAGATCTCGAGGTGGTCGTGGTAGTCGTGGTGGTCATGGAGGTCGTATGGAAGGTCGTATGGGAGGTCATACGGGTAGTCGTGGGGGCTGTAGTGGACCACGTTCTTGTACTGACTGTGGTCGTGGAGGGCATATTGTTGATTTCTGTTGGGATTTACATGAGAAACCTTCTGGTGCTGCGAATCAATCTTCCTATCAGGATGACACCTCTGTTGTTGCTTCTATACCTTGGTCAGCTCCACCAGACACTGGGTCGGTTACTATTACATGAGAGGAGTATGCTCAGTTCTTGTCCTAGCAACAAGCTGTTCCATCACCCTTCACTGCTACTTTTGCTTGGTTAGGTATTGTTTCCACATGTTTGTTGTCCTCCACTTGTAGTCCCTAAATCATAGACTCTGGTGCTTCTGATCACATGACTGGTGCGTCTGATGTCTTTTCTACTTATCATTCTACTACCTCCACACGTAGTGTTACTCTTTCTAATGGTTCTTGTTCTAAAGTTTTAGGTTTTGGGATTACTAGCCTGAGTCCTGATATGTCTCTATCTTTCATGTTATTTGTTCTTTAATTTCTATTTAGTTTATTTTCCATTAGTAAGATTACTCGTTCTCTCCATTGTTCTGTAACATTTTATCCCTTTTATTGTGTCTTTCAGGATCTCAAGACGAAGAGGAAGATTGGTACGGGGCATGAAGCTGGTGGCCTATATTTCCTTAACTTTGATTCACCTACCTGGGCTC